TTCCTGCACTAGAAAAAAGTATAGTTTTTTTCCTGGCCACTAAAATGAAGTGATGTGCAAGGTATCTACAATAGTTAGAGGAAGTGCTAGCTTCCTATTACAAACATAGTCAAATTACTTAGTTTCCCTGCTTCATGTGGAGAGAGAGAGAGAGAAAACTTAAGTTCAGCAGTTTAATATAACCTAGACTGGAGCATGAACAGGTAACAAAATCCACCACTTCCATAATCCATTCATCATGGCTGTATCCATGTGAGCATAGACCAGGGAATGCCCTTGCCACATGTCCTCTAGCAGGTGGCAGGTTAACCCTGGGTCGGGTAGGGAGACGGGCCAGCAACTGCTGGACCTGTAGCCTTACATGGGGGCCTCCCAGGGCTCTAGCCATGGTGCTTTTACAGCTAGGAGCCTGGCCAGCACCCAGAGTATAGCTCTAGCTGGCCAGGCTCCAGTTTTGGGCAGTGCATGCTGCCGTCACTTGCACTGCCCTGCTTTTTTTTGGTGTGGGTTCTTTTGACCCCAGGATCTCCCGAGGTCAAAAAAACCCAAACCTATGCTGCAAGGTAGCATTGTGGAGAACATTTGTATGTGCGGTGAGTGGTACCACATACCATAATTCCACGCTCGCTTGGACACAGCCAACAGGTCATTTTGCGGTATTTCTAGAACAGTATTTTTTAAAGTATGTTATCTGAAAAAAATGTACATCTGAGTTCCTTTTTCATAACATAAGTGGAGTCCTGTTTTCCACATGATCTCAGTATCTTCGGTCTTCCATGAAATTCAATCTTTTTCTAACCTGCTAAGGCTACAAACATGGATGTTAGTTAAAGAGTGACTTTAAGGCTGAGCTTGCACACTTAGGAAGTAATGGCACTACAGATTCACTTTTTGTAGACCAAACAGGGTTCAGATGGTAATCTTGTTAGTAGCTTACACTGAACTAGCAACAAAGTTCTATATTTCATTACCAACAGGAAAATAAGTACTGCTATATCAAATCACACCTGATATCCATTAGTTCTTATGCTGTCTCTGACCACTGCCAACGTTAACTACTTCAGCAGAAAGTGAAAGGACCCTTCAGTACATAGACGTGGCAGTGTTTTGCCCCTACATTACATTTTATCCCAATCTCAAATAGATTATAGATTGACTTGATTGCAGAATTATGTTTACTATCCTTTTCCAAAGTTACTATCTGGGTTATTACAATTTTGTACAAATGTGTTAACTATATTTTTATCTTTATTATAATTTTTTTAATTGCTCTGAATGCAATTAAGATTAGCACGTCCTTAGTTGGCAAGTAAATGTGTAAACTAGTGCCAAAAGTATTAATTTAATGTGCTAGATTTTTAATTTAATAATACCCTAAATATCCTTAAACCAAAAATCTAATCACTTGCAAGAAATTAAACAGATTCAGTACTCTTTGATTTCCAGATTTGCTTTTTGTTCTTTACATTTTACCCCACAAAGTAAAACCAATATCAGGACCATAAAAGGTACATATATCTGGACTCAAACTAAACCCCTTCACCTTATTGTTCTTGAGTTATTTAATAGCATCTTGATCAAAATCTCACCAGACTCAGTCTGTTTGCCATCAGCTAGGGACAAGGTGTGAGCAGCTCAGTAGGGTGCTGCAACTTTTTGCTAGCAGGAACTTTTTTTTTTGTATTGACTTTTAGTGGCAGACATCTGGTAAGATATTTCATGCATCCATTAAAGGTGTGAGAACTTCTTGACTAGTTTTATTTTCATATACTATATACATGAGTGGTAATCTAATGGTTGGGAAATGAGTGGGAGTCAGAACTCCTGGACTGTATACATTTTGCTCTTCAGCAGGCAGCTCACTTTACTTTGCTCCCCATTGTGTATGTCGGCAACCATCGTACAAGAACAGGATACTTGAGATATAATTAACTGATTTTTTTTATTATCTTTTTTATGCTTTTAGGAAAAGGCTTTCATAATGTGTACAGAATACCTGTTCATGGAGGCATTCTGGGCACTGTTCAACAAGAATAAATAAAAATTCAGTAAAAATATGTCCTCGGAGATAAGTGCCATATTTTCTTTTTATGCATCACTTTCTCAGTGAGAAATCTACACACTGTTTTTGGCAGTTGTATTCCGTATGTATGGGACTGCTGTTTAGCTACTTTAAGATGTACATAAGCACATATATGGATTCCTGTTTTAGTCCATGAGGATCTGTACTCATAAGCTTGGCTGTGGAAAAAGAGTCTGGCAGTACTACTGTGCTGTGACTGTAGTGTAGTGTAAACACGCCCAAGCTAACTTCATATAACTGATGTACATATCAATAATAGTCTAGCTGCAGAAGCACAAAGCTGCAGGCCAACTACATGACAATTTACCCTGCTTCTCTGGCCAGTTTTGCAGCCCAACCTGAGGACCATCCTGCTGCAGGACAAAGCAATGGGGGCACCTGTCCCAGGTGCTGATTTCTGAGGGAATGCAGAAACTGATTGTTATGCTTCTGCTTCAGCCATGCTGCTACAGGTACCCAAGCCAGCAGTTAAAAGCCGGTCTCAGGCAAGTTTGTACTGTACTGCAGTTCAGGCAAGCATTCAGTTTATTGGCGCAAGGACCGCCAAGTGTAGTGTGTGACAGAGACCACAGTTCTCCAAGTAAACACAGGTTCTTTCCTTTTCAACATCCCTCTCTACTGTTATGGCTTTAGTACAGGAAAGTCCCTGCATAGAACATCTCATCACCAATTGCCACTTGTAATTAATCTGTTTGCAGCAGTTAGGCTTTCACTTTGTACTGACTAAGAGCCTGGTTCTGTTCCCCCTGGGGAATTTGCCACAGACTCCACTGGGGTACAGAGATGGGCCTCAGACTTTGTAGGCGTAATAGGAAATTACTTTCAGTATTTTTTATTAAAATTGAGCCTTTCACAGGAAATTGGTGATTTAGAAGCAGTAAGGTAATAAAATCCCTTAGTTGTAATATTTCAGTTGAAAAGCATTTTGATGAAACAAGCAGCGTCAGTCACTGCAGCCCTAGGGCAGTGCTGACGCGCATGGACAATTTCAGTCGGTATGATTCTCTTGTCTATTTCTTCTTACTGCAAAACAGTCCCTTGAGCGCCTGCAAAATTACTTAGCTTTGTCAGAGAAACAGAAACCCCTTTTAAAAAAATACACCCACCACCCTTACTTTACATTGATCACAGCTAATATTGGACTCTGTTATAATACTTATCTCTGAGACATGCCTGTCCAATTTTGCTCCCAACTGCATTAACACTAGTCAGGTTGCTGAGACTGTGCGTTATAGGGCTCAGGTCACTAGACAAGAATTTTTAAACACAGGGAAAATGTTTGAAATAGGAGTATCTACATCTGTACTGAGGCCCCAGATCTTCATTATGCTGAACATGGTGGTGTTCATGGAAGCGCAGCATTTAACCTGTGGGCTTCATATTGTAGAGCCCAAAGTAACAGACATTGAGAACCACCAGTTCCTGCTGGCTAAAGTGGTAGCCAAAGATGCTTGGCATGTTTACAAAACAGGCCCCTAAATACATGACTTAACTTTTCAATATTGAGCATTTAAAATGTTTAGCCGTGATTCATAACCAGAACAGTGACTGAAAGAGATACACTGTGACAATATGCACATGCCTTCCTGTATTCTAAGAGCTGAAGATAGTCATGTCAGCATTTTTACTTTATATCACCACTGCTGGTATTTTAAAGTGCTAGGCTGAGTTGACTTTGTTTATTTTAGGAGTTTTATTAAAAATATTTAGTTTTAGAAAATAAAAACAAACCAAGTGGCAACAGCTCAAAGTTGTCCTAAACATGAATGTAGCAAATCTATACCTACTAATGCTTTCTTCAAAATGCTCTCTGATTGTGAACACGATTAGTCTCAAAGTAAGAACACAAAAAAGTATAAAATACAGTGGTAGATTGTGACACAAACTGCAATAATGAAATGGTCTCAAACCAACCTTTGTGAACTAAAATCCATAACAGCCTTTACATTTGTTTTACAGAAACACTGGATATGGAAGTAAAGAAGTCATAATTACATCCTAGGCCAACTTCCAACACACATGAAACAAATGGCACTGGCAGCCTGTGTGTGGCATACAGCAGCTCAAGGAGGGGACAGGCAGCATGGTAGCAGATGGGGCAGAGAGGAGACGGGAGAAAGTGGAGCAGATGATCAGGCAGGGAGCACAGGACAAGAAGCAGAAAATGTAGCAGCTTGAGTAGGGGAAAGGAATCAGTGCCACTTAGTGATGTTCAGAGCTAATTTTGTGGCACACCTGCCAAAAAGCTTGGCTGCCACTGTCCTATGCAACATTTAATTGCTCATTGTGTACACACTTGCAAATACAGTTGTAGGAACATTTATCTTGAAGCAAAACATTTATCTTGAAGCCCTAAGAGTAAAATTCACCATGTAGCTATAAAACAATTTATCCTTTTGAAGTAGGTTGAATTTAATTTCAATTTCTAAATCCTTTTATTTCATAATGTTAATAAAATAGCTAGAAACATTTAAGTGTGATCAAGTGGTTCAGGCCATAAATTGAGCCTAATTCATCTTTAAAGATTATTCTGCTTTGAGAACTGTTTCAGAATTTAAGTGCCCAACATCATATTAAAAAATCTACCCCCCTCCCCTCAAAAACAGTAGTAATGTAAAAAGTAGTACAGGCAGTCCTCGACTTACAATGTTTCAAGTTCCAGTGTTTATAAACTGATACCCTATTTCAAGTTTATGACATCAGTTTTGACTTTACAATGCTTGATCCGATGTGATGCCACGCCAGCAAACAAGTTTGCTGTGTCACCCATCTCCCTGGGAACATTTGTCCAAAGTTCCTTGGACACTTTCTAAGAAAGCAGACAAGACTCCAGAAAAACCTGCAGCCAAGACTCCTAAGACTCCAGCCAAGAGCCCTTCAAAAAGTCCAACAATGTCACCTCAAAGAAGTCCTTCCAAATCAATATGATTGCTATTTACAATATAAATACATTCATGTAGCTATATTACTCATCTATAATTGATTAAGTACAAAATTCTGGGGTATTTTTGGTGAAAATAGAGTATTGGGCCTTGGTTCAGGAACCAATCCCCCATTTATAACATTGTTTCTTATAAGAAAATTGGTTCCGAGTTACAGCGTTTCAACTTAAGATGTGATTTTCAGGAACCAATTGTGTTGTAAGTCTGAAGACTGCCTGTAAAGAAAAAGGGAAGCAAGTGCGGGGAAAAAAATCTTAAGTTTAATACAAAATCATAGCAAGGTTATCTGTTCAGCTAGTATAAAATTTGAAAAATCTGTGAAGCTTCTCTGTATTATGAACAATGAAAAGCTAAACACAGTTAAACAACTACAGAAATCTGATTATTTGAGCCACATCAGTCCCTGTATTTATTTGTGTGTGTTACATACACTGATGAGGTTTTGTTTTGAAGTATTACTGATAGCCACTTGCATTTGTAGGACTAATATATTATAACATTCCCTGCATTTTCCAGATGACTGCATTGCAGAAAGCCACTGGTGACGCTATTTTCAAATTTGAACCATTTGTTCTCCATGTGCTGTGTCGAGAATTGCAAGATGCACAACTTCTGGTAAGATTTTATCAAGTAACAGTGTTGTATTGTTTTGTTTAAATTCCTTGCTGCATAAGTAAAAATGCTGGCAGTTAACTGTCTTGTAACACTTAGAAATATTCCCAGGAGAACTGTTTAATAACTGGGGTAATAAAATAAGTTGATGGAGAAAATATGGATTTAGACTTTCTGCAGATTTTCCTATACTTTCTAAAAATAAAATCACTTTAATGTACTTCAGTCTCCTAGCTTAACCAGGTTTGGTTTATGCTTTGCCTGAATAACGTGTCACATTCCCTGGTTGATAATGTTTTGTAGAAACTAGTTTGCTAAGTGAAAAGAAATTCTATAGAGCTGCACAGGACAATCTTGTTCCTAACTTGTCATCTTCCTACAACTGTTGCTGCATGCTGTAAAATTTAAAAGCATACAAGGCTCTCCTGGTTGTAAAAATAATCAGTCTGACAAAATGCATATGAATTGTTTAAAATATTTGTGTGTTCCACAGCATTCAGCAGCTATAAATTCTGGATTCAGGAACTCTGGCATTACAGTTGGCAGAAGAGGGAAAATTATGATGGTAAAGTCTTTTATTTTTCCTGTTTTGTTACACAACTTAAAAATTATTCTCTAACATGAAGACACTTAATAAATGTTACATCTGAATAGCATTATTTAAGGTTAGCTGTGGTATGACAAGCCATAGTGAAGATCTCCATCCAGTCTTAACAAACAACTGAATCTCCTCTGATGATTTTTTCTTTAAAAGAATTGCACCAACTTTGTAGGGCTATCTACTTAAAGGTAAGTGGAAGCTAGTTTAATTCAAGATAGTACTTTTTTATATCCCCTAGGCTGTTCGGAGTACTCATTGTTTAGAAGTTCCATTAAGCCAGATGGGGAAATTAATGGTCACTGAAGAATATGTTGACTTCCTAGTACAGATAGCTAATCGGAAGATGGAAGAGAACTTGAAGAGGATTGACAGGTTTGTTAAATTACATCCATTCTACTTCACAACATCTGAATTTCAGACGTATCAGTTTATATGGGAGAAATGCTATATCAAACAGATTTAATCACAAGGTAGTACTAGGTTTAAAATGTAACTTCAGTTAAGAGTTAAATTTTCAGCTATTGAAGACCAGAGATAAGTACTTCATTAAACAGTCATCTGTATGAGCAACATTATAAGGTAACTACTCAAAGTGGATTTATTTAATATTTCCAAAAAGGTCTGGACTACAACTTTTTCAAATATATAGGATGGACTTCTCATGGAGTGCTGACTGATGCATGGCTCACTTCATAGTGGGACTTGTGTTTGAATAGATTTTACACAGTATCTAGACACACATAATTAAAAACTTTTAATGAAAAATCAGGATGTTTTCTTATTTTAAATTCACAGTTTCATGTGGGTTCAGATTAGAATACGCACTTTAACAGACTAAACACTGCATAGTTCTGACACTGGTCTGTCAAATGTGCTGGTCGTCTACTGAGAGGTAGGGTAATAGCCTACTGAGAGGTAGGGTAATAGCATCATCTTCTTTCCAGATGTGAGAGCAGACAGTAGGGTAGGATGAAGAGTAAGAGGACAACATACTTAATTGTACTAATGACAGTTAAAAATTTAAGAAAAATGTTTTTCATATTGTCATTGCCAAAGGGGTATTTAAGTAATTGCTAATGAGAGGGAAGATGGTCCACTGAATCATGAATAGGATTTTCCATTAGAGACACTTGGAAGATGATTATCTGTTATGAAGTTCTCAGTAATATGGGATTTTAATTATACATTGGCCATCTCTGCCAAGTAGGTTCCATCAATAAGATTAGTGGTTAGAGAAATGACAGCATATATATAGGAGACATTTGGTAGTATGCTCACAGAAGACTTGAACAGGGCAGCATTTGGATTTAGTAAGAATTCTCTTATAATGGTTCTGCATTTATTTTAAAGGTGTTGCAAAAACTTTAATGTTTGGCTTGCAGAAACAGCAAACATACACAAATTGTAACTACATACTTACTGCTTTCTAGGTTTTACAGCTGCCTGCAGTTGGCTTTGAAAACCCAACATGGCTCTAGTAGCTCACTTTGTGAAACAGTCAAGACATGTTCTACACACAGTTGCAGGAGCAAAAGAAAACCAGATAAAGCATGTGGTGTGATCGCCTCTCCAGACAGTAACTCCTCTTGTGAAACAGTTCAAACCTATTCTGTGTACGTTCGCAGGAGAAAAAGAAACACAGATAATGTGCATGGTGTGAATACCTCTCCAGACAACAATGAAGATTCAGAAAGTGAAGATGACCCAGAAATCAATCTTAATATTTTTGAGGAAATATATTGACATGGGATATTATCTCCTTGTTAATATATGCCTAGAAGTATGAAAACATTGCAAGCATACTGATATTTGTACTGCTCTTTATAAGAGCTGTTAAACTTCTGTGTTCTGGGAAATAATGCTATTGTGGAAGTTTTACCATGAGGACAATATTCACTAAAGCCACTAATAAAACAAATGTGACAGGTTCTGAGTTGTATATAAAATGCTACAGAAATGCACCTTCTAAAAATAAAATATCTTTATATTTTAATGACAAACACACAGCAGCTTAATTTTGCATTACTCTAGTTTGTCACCAATCCACAGGGAAGGCCATACTAATTTTAACACTGGGGAAAGACCTAAAGCTCCAGCGCTCAGCGATTACGTCCTTATTCCAGTACTACTGCTACTACCATAGCTCCTTCTACGAGTTCATAAGAATATTGATGTTGGAAACCTTAACCATTTGGGACTATTCAGTCTGTTTGCAGAAATACAGGACAGCCTTGTCAAAACAAGGCAGTATTTACTACTGAGTACAGTACTTGTGTACCAAGATTTGCATGGAAAAACAAAGTTGAGATGCATGTCCATACTGGCAGTGTAAGCTGCCTCTCCAGTCCAACATGTCCAGAATTCCATCACTCCCACTGTAATAACAGTTCTGCTGCTTTGTACACTTCAGTCCTTGGTTTCAAGCTCTGGTTGCACTGTTATATGTGTTCTTCCTGCCTTGGTCAGCTGGTTTTAAAAGTCTTGAACTATCTGATAGTTTTATGTTAGCTTCAAGAAAACTCTTGGCAGTCTCTTTCATTCATTAGTGTCTTTCTGACCCTTGCCCATTTCTTATTTCCACCTACCAAAGAAGCTAAATAAGTGGTCGCAATCCAGAAAATAAGCAGGGAAATAATAAGACGTTTTAAAATAAAATAGAGAAATTTGTCGTGTTCTTGACAGGTATGTTCCCCAAACATTTGGCACTTAGCTACAATAACTGTCTTCTTTGTTGCTCAGTGCCAGAAGGTTAAGTCTGCTTAGGAAACTCTTATGCTTTCTGTATGATTTTTGTTGTGGGGCAAAAAGCTTTTGTGTGTGGTTAAAAATCAGCGATGTTGGGATTAGTTCAAACTGCTGCTTATTTAATTGAGAAAGGTATTGTGACAGGACTGTGCCACAGTAATTCCTGTGATGCTTTGCATTTGGAGGTATATTCCCTGGTTCTGCATATGGAGATACTCTAATTATCTGAGTTATGGGAAATCCTAGGTGTCCATACAGCTCCTGCCCCACTGAGCTCCCCAGGGCACCCATCTGCCACACCTTGATGGAATTATCTTTTGTAGGGAGGCTGCCCCAAGGTCCCTGAGTGAGCCCTAGCCTGCCTTGGCCAGTGGCCAGTGAGTCCCATCTGTACCTAGCTGCCCCCCCTGTTCTTCAGTGCCCTAGATGCCCCCCCCCACTATATCAGTGCTCCACAGCACCAGTTGCCTTAATGGAAGGAGGCCATTTGTGGCCTCCTTCAATCCCTACAGCCACACCCATGCCTCACAGATATTACTTTAGATTCATACACAAGCTTGTACAGGCTGAAGCCCACGTGGGTACTCTCACTGTCAACTTCCAGCCTAGGCCCACTTCCTCTTCCCCAGCTTCTGAGTCTGGCCCTTGGCGCATCTCACTGGCTTAGGGTTGCCCCTATAGGGTTGAAAGTCTGGAGCACCTCCCAGGTACCCCTGTGTGGCCTCCTGTCTGTCCCCACAGCCACTATCCAGCCTCCAGTTCCTAATCAGAACAGAAATGCAAGCCCAAACCAAAACTTCTCCCTATGCTGGGCCAATAACTCCCTCACTGACTATAAGTCCTCATTAGCTCTATACTTGCACCTCTTTGAGACTGCCTGTGTGCTGGTCAGTGCCATCCTGCACAGGGACTCCTCTCTCTGCTGCTTATAGGGCCACTGCCTGTCCTGGTTCAGGCCTTGGGTTTATATGCTTCAAAGCCCCCGCTCCCCCCCCTGTTTCTGCCATGTGGCTTCCCCCACCCACACACAGGAATTTCCCCTTTTAATTAAGGGCCAGCCTATGCTCCTGCTGCTGCAGCCCCACACAGCCCACTTGGTCTGCTACCTGCTCTTAAAGTAACAGGAGCTTCTGGCTCCCTGTTGCAGGTATTATTAATAAATATGCTTTTATAGAAGTTTTACTCAACAGAAAAAAAAACCTTAATTTTGCCTTCATATGCAGCACATACAGCACCTTAGAGTCAATGCATTTGGGATCAGCGTACATGTCTTTACTGCTTAGATGACTTGGGTAATTGGCACCTGGGTTAGCTTAGCTAGTTTCATCTGGGCACCTGGGAAGTGCCCAGATGAAACATCCCTACAGCCCTGCAGGTTGTGCTTTACTGAGTCCTTGCTCTTTCTGCAATCCTTCATGTGCATTTGGAGGCATATTCCCTCATTCTGCCTATGAAGATACTCCAATACCCTCTATTAGTTGTGGGAAATCCTAAGTGTCCTTCAAAAGGAACTTGGTGAGGCACTGAAGGACTCTCAGCAGTTGGAGGGCTTTTGTGCCTGTGTCCTCACTGCCAAGTGGCTGGGTTTAATCCTGCAGGGGAGTAGAACTTGAGCTCTCATTTATACTTCAGCATGAACATAAAGATTCCCTCCACACCACCTAGACAGGGTGGACTACAAGGCAGGCAGAATTCCTAGTTTACTTGCCAGCAGAGTCATTTCCAAAAAAAAGCATCTATTAGGGACTGTGGACCAGTTACTAAGAATTTTCTATTTGCATTTAAGGGTTGGAATGTGTTCCATTTCTGAAACTTCTAGCATCATAAATGTATGGGCATGAACTTTCTAAGCTTAATTTAGCGGACATTATGTAAACATCTAAATAAAAGTTAGCTGCTTAGCCTACAACATGCTACAATTCATTTACTTCTACACTTGAACACTAGAAAGTCCATCTGTATTATGGGGGGTTTTGCATAAAGCTATAGCAAATTGCATGTTAAAAAAATGCCACGTAATAAATCAAGAGCTTCTGTTATGAAATGTATTCAGTGGTTTCTAACACTCAGATCAGAAGGAGATCAGTGCTAAGAATTGGGAGGGGCGGGGGGGTGGGGGAAGGGAAGGGAGGGGCAAGGATAATGTCATCATAGTTAAAAAACTGTCATTGTTTCCATTACCTAAACCTGTGTTTTCAGGGGAGTTTAATTCCACTGTAAAATGTGCCTTGAGCACAATTTTGGCATATTAGGTGTCAGCCTGGGGAAAAATAATTGGGATCTTTAAATAGATTTTTAAAAAGCTTTTAAGCTGCATTTCCAGGAATGTAAGTGCCAAGAAAAACAGATGTAAGAGTGCATGTTGTTTATTTGTGCTCCTAACTCAAAATTTTCCTCTGCTGTACTGCTGTGCACTGTATAAATCCAAGTCCACCCTACAAAAAGAGTGCTGATCTCAACATCTCCATGTGGAGTGGGGAAATAAAGACCCGCCCAGTCCACAGCCTTCTCCTAAAAGGTGAGGGTCATTCTTTTGGACTACCAAATTAAGTGTCAGTTGGCTTAGTATCTTATTGCACGTAGAAATATTACTCCTTTTAGTCAAAGCAAGACAAGTAACTTTACTACTATTTTCATCCCTTTTGTGAGGGAAGGATTTGTCCTATGATCACAACGTCTCCAGGACCTGGAGAGTCACTTATTATTTCTTTAAGGTACTGAATGCCTTCATAGATTCAGAGAGTTATAGATGTTAGAGCTGGAAGGGACCTCATAAGATCATCGGGTCCAGCCCCCTGCCTAAGGGGTAGGAAGTCAGCTGGGGGCAGATCACCCCAGCAAGATAAGCATCCAAGTGTTTCTTAAAAAGTTTCCGGAATAGGTGCAATCACCACTTCTAGTGGGGAGTCTATTCCAGATTCTGGAGACTCGAGCAGTAGAGAAGTTTTTCCTTATGTTCAGTCTAAAATGGTCTTCCAGCAGTTTGTGATTGTTAGACTTTGTCTTCCCCTGGGGTGCCCTGGTGAACAGATGTATAAGATATCAGAAAAGAAACTGGAAACTAAACTTCACAGAAGCATACTAGAAATATATATAGATTTCACTATAGGAGTAAAATCAGCAGGTCATTCCAAATCACCTCCAACGTGACTTGGAGGCACACCATTTATATAGCTGCTTTAAGGAGCTTACTGTGGCAGGGTGTCCAGTGGTATTTACCCTAGTAGGCTAACAGAAGTGGGGTATATGGTGAGGAGGTGGGTCAGCAGCATCCCCACTGCACCCAAAAAGGGAATTTGAAGGGAGTGGAGCCTGCAAAGCCCAATCCACCGAAGTATTGGATGAGCAGGACTAATAGTACATGTTGGGCTGGGTGAATGTTAACAGAGGCCCAATAAAATAGCACATCTGGGCAGCTGACACTTCACGGGCAGGGAGAGGATGGTAACTGCACCACAGAAATGGTGGTGCTAAAGCTGCTAACAGAAGTGTTTGACAAGATAATCTACTTCCATCCATATTGCAGTTATACATCAATGGCTTTCTCCCTTAAGCAATCAACATCTTATACAAATCATTAGTTCCATCCTGCAGCACAACTGTTTCCTTTTGGAACGGAGGTTGCCTTAATCCAGCAAGTTCTGTAAGTAGCAGAAACATCTGTTTCAACAAGTTGTGTGGTGCTGAGTTCATATAGCAGATAACAAGACAAAAATCAACAGTGGAGATAAGGTAAATAATGGTTAAATTTATACAACACGCCACTAGGTGGTAGAGTGCTACATACAGTGACAGCAAGCAGTTTCAGCTTTAGATTTAGATGAAGTTTTATTTGCTTGTGTAGCTAATTTGTGTTATTTTTTAACTTTTGGGGGGGAAAAGACTGGCATTTAAAGTTTATCCAAAAAATTATGAAAACAAAGAATGCCTTCTCCATTAGAAGTGGTGTTTCTAAAATAAAGAGACTTCTACCATATTCAGGGGATGGTTTAAAAGTTAGTCTGAATATACTCAATACCATCAGTGAACTGAATTTACAGTCATGGCTTCCATGCATTTTAGAAACATGCGTATTTTGTACAATTATATTCTTGCTGTGTTCTTTGTATTTCAGAGAGAAAAATAGAGAATTGAAAAAGAAGAGATTAAAAAAAAACATAGGCTTTAGTCTCTAGCTGAAGGATTTTAAATGTCTGCAATTCTATAAGGATTCTTTGCAAATATAGTTAATCCTGTAAGGGATTTGTACATAGTTCT